GGGGGGGGGTAGAACTGCGAGGGAGCCCTGCCACGCACCCCCGCCCCAAGCACGTCATTGGGACGCGGTGTCTCAAAGGAGACGGGACTGTCTCGGTCCCGGCGCCCCTCCGTGGTGCGGGGGAGCTCGGGAGGGTCGCACCGACAGGGACGCACAGCGCCTCTGCTTTGCCAGACAAGAACTTGGAGGGGGAGGGAAGGGAGCAGCGGGGATTGTGCTGCTACTCCCAATAGTCAGAGTCTTTGCGTGACTGATCCAGGTACTTCACCTCTTGGTCCTTGCGTACAACGAGGACGGTCGAGACCCACCTCGGAGGAGTTGTGAGGCTTGATTGTGTGCAGAGGGATTTGAGGGCTTTGGTTGGAAGGTCTAGAGAAGCAATACGGGTCACTTGAAAGCCTCCAGGCTTTTACTCTGGGGAAAGCCTCATCTTTGCTAAGGTGGTGGTGTCATGAGGCTGCTGCAGTTCTGTAAAGCTGTGCTGGTGTTGCTGATTTACAACGGGTAGGTTGAGAAATGGAACATGCACAACGGCTAAATGCCTGAAGTGGGATGAGCAGCGTGGGGAGTACTGATGGACGTGCCCTGAGTGGTCATGCGAGACCTCTCAGCCCTGCAGTGGTGCCCTTCCCGGGGGAAGGAGGGAAGGACTTTGGCCTCCCTTAGCACTTGCTGCAGAGCTTAATGAAAAGCTGTTGCAAACACGAGCTTCCCCGTGGGGAACATCTGGTGAAAGGAGATTTAACCAAGATGGTGACACTTCGTGCCTCACTTTGTTAAAGTGGGGCCCAGAGCTCGTTACCGGCTGGTGTTAATGGTTTGTGTTTGTGCTGCAGGCTGAACATTGCTGCGCGAGGGTATTTTACCTTCATCTGCTTTAAGGTTTCATTTAAAAAAGGGCAAGTTCAAAGCTGGTTGGGCTGAATGCAGCTGCTGATTGGCTAGTGCATGTGCGGTGCATCGTCTAAACGCGTCTCTCTCTCTCTCTCTCTCTCTCTCCCCCTTTTTTTACAGGACACTGAAAGGGAAGTTAGCTAAACAATACCCAGAGGCTTTCAGCAGTGAGTGTCTCCTTGTTGTTTGACTTGCACCGTTGTTGGTTTCCTCGCAAATTGAGGAGTCTGAAAAAACGTGACCTGCCACGCTCGAATCTCAGGGTTTCAGAGCAAGAAGTGAAGAGGGATGCAGGCTTGTGCCAGCATCTGCCTCCAGCTGGAGTCTGTAGTTTTCTTGTTGGATGCCTCTGTGACACCCAGGAAAGATGGGGGTTGGGACCTGGGGGAGGGGGTTGCAAAGCAGCCAAAATTTCACATTTGAGATCCTTGTGCTTTTGCTGGACTGCCACTTACTCTGGGTTAACATGAGCAGCACATGGGGCAATAATACCGGGAAGCTGCCCACTCCCTCCAGGTGGCGTGAGCAGCAGAAGTACAGAACTTGTCTCTTCTTTCAGATATTCATGAATCTCCAATTCTGGAAGATGACGATGATTTCGATCCTATTCCCAAAAGCACAGCAACGACAATTGCTACCTCTGAGCAGAGCACAGGGTCCTGTGACACAAGCCCTGACATTATTTCTCCAACCATGAGTCAGGATTTTGAGGATTTGTCGCAAGGCCAGTATGATTCACCAGCCGTCAATGGACAGAGTCTCACAGACGACGAAACGGCCCATGACCTGGACTAAGGGTATCGGGAATGTATGGCACGAACCCAGTCAGCCGCCCGAACTGTGCAGCACAACCCGTGGACTTCCTGGCCTGTATCTATATTTGTGTGTTTCCTTGACCATTTAATTTCTGGGGAGGGGAAGCGAAGGTCCCTCTCTGTCTTTCTACCTGCCGTCATCTGATCGCAAACCCCAAGCCTCCCTGGGGCGGGCGAGTAAATGGATTGAAATGCCTTTATCTGTTCGCATTTGCGTGTTCAGGAGAGAGCAGGAGCCCCAGTGGGCGGGTTGGGATGTTTAGTTCCTTGGAAACAGGGGTCTTGTGCTCTCAACAGCTTCTGCGCGTGTCCTTTTCTTACAGAATTTACTGTTTCTCACCCATCTCAGCCTCTAACTTGCAGTGCATGTGAACCTGGCAGCCCTCCTGCTGGCCTGGCACGGGGCTCTGCTGTAGCGGGCAGGGGGGGTATGCACGGGAAGCAAGAGCTGCTTCCGTCCTGGGGAAATACTCTCTTTTCCGGTAGCAAAATGGCCCCGTAGATGGGGCAAGTGCAAGCCCCACGCCAGTGATTCCTGGAGCCCTGTGCGTGTTCAGCCGCTGCCTGGAGCCTGGCTCCTCACCCCGGTGCTCTGCTGCCCTATTGCTGCGCGAGGGCTGCTTTCCTAACCGCGCGTGCGCTGCTTAGCGGAGACCGGGCAGCCACGGCTGCAGCTCACGCTCCCCATGTGTCACCGCAAGGCTCTGAGCGCTTTGTATTCGCGTCCCTGCCCTGCGTGCCCCTGCTCGCACAGGGGCTGTCTGGGCATGTCTGCCTCTCGTGTATGTCCCTGGTGTCGCCCCCGTCCGTGCCCACAGCACAACCTGCGCGTGGCCCAGGGGTGCGGGGGAAGGGCTCCTCTGGCCCCGGGGAGACTTGAAAGCAAATATTTTTGTACAACAGTGGAGAAAATAGCCTGCCCGCGTGAATCCCTCAATAAACGATCCATCCGCACCCTGTCTTGGCCTCGCTACTAATGCATGATTCAGGAGCTCTTGTAGTAAAAGGGTTAGGGCTAGGCCCCCCCTTACACTCCCGTGAAGGTCTTTCACATAAGGCAAGAATAATCCTGTGTCGGGCTTCTGTCGCTAGTTGGCAAAACTCGTGCGTGCCGGCACGAGGGATCTCGCCAGGTTCATAAACTGCCTCTCTCCTTCGCTGCTCCAAGCGCGTTGCCCAAACTTGTGCTGAGATGACTGCTCAGATTGGTTCCTGTAGCAGAGCGTCCAGGGCCCGTTGTGGGGGGTGAGGTGGGTTGGAGGGGCAGGGAACGGGGGAACCGCCACCATGGTGAAAGCCAAGCAGCAGCCAGGCTGCAAGTGTGATCTTTTCCAAGGGCAGTGCTGTGCAGCCGCCTCTCCCGTACCCGTCCGTGCACGAGTAACAGCTCGAACGCCGGCGCCGGG